AACCTCGTTCAAAATATGAATTCTTGTTCAGTATTTCATTGAAACTGCAGAAAAATATGTTACTATATATTTAACTCTATTCAGATTTGGTTTAAGTATTCTCAAGAATTTTTATACTATATTTATCTGAACTTTCTGAAGATCACAAAGGAACAATGGGACTGACAAATAAAGCAGGTGCGGGAAGCTGCAGGTAAACATACCAACGTCTGGATTCAACAGAGTTCGGAACTGAAGAATACAAAATAACAAACTATTCCCTGGGATATTAAAGATATTAAATAAAGAATGCAAAACTCTCCAAACATTTAAAGTAAATTAGCCCAAATTAAAAAATATATTTATATTATTTGAGTTTCGACAGTTTTAAGAGCCTAGTCAATGTCTTCAAAAAGCAATTAAAATTTTTTTTTGAAATATCGGTTTTTAAGCGGGTAATATTTTTAATTAATTAATAATGCATAATATTTATAATTTACTTCTCAGAGGTTTTTCTTTTTTTTTTTTTTTTTTTTTTTTTTTTTTTTTTTTTTTTTTTTTTTGTCGGTGTGGCGTTTCTTCGTTAATTCTTTATCAAATACATTGAATGAGCCCTCATTTTGAAAATTATTTTTCGGTGAGTAAAATAGTTAGATCCCCCCAAAAGTTTAGGGGGAAAGTTATGAAGTAAAAAAAACTTTCCTTATTACTAACTCATAAAGTATACATTTAATGCACCCATAATAGTTTTAAAGGCCACTAAATTCAGTAATCAAACTATTATTAGCAAAGATCTAGCTAATTGTAATTTTCAAATATGTTGTTTTAAAACATTAAAGAAGTTTTAAATCAATTTTCATGTCGTTAATCGATTATTCGGTGAAAATAGGAATTGATTCCTCCATCTTAGATTTTTTGCATTATTTTCTTTTCTTATTATATATATATATATATATATATATATATATTTAAAAATGAATATCTGCTTGTCTGTCTATCTGTATGTCCTTTGTGCAATACTAAACCATCCATCGCCGATTAGAGAAGTTGTTGCGTAACCTCCCGCGAAGTTTTCTGGCAGTCTTCTGTCTTACGATAATTTCATCTTCACTTTTTATTACCATCCGGTCTTTCGTTTCGAAAACATATCGCTATAAACTATAGCGCCAATACGGGTGTAACGATTTTAACAAAACTTCCCAAAGCAGCTGGTGTATTTGCTGGTATTCCCCTTCTGTTTAATTGTCTAATATAAAAAGCACAACTCTGGAAGATATGGACCACTGTCATTCTCTTTCCACACTTTCGACAAATGGGCGAGTTTTCTATCGTAATTAACTGAAGGTGCGTAAGCCTAGTATGACCTATTCTTAGTCGCGAGCTATATAGTATTCTTAATATCATTAAATGTAATTTGCAGCTTTAATTAACTTCTTAACTGTGATGTGATTTTATCAGGAATATATTTTATACTATTAGGAGTTTCTCACTTTTTTCGAAACAAAATTAATTGCAATATATTTGCAGCATATGAATTTTATTTAAATTTAACAAGTCTATCCAGGACAGCCCACCTTACGCCTCAAAATCTACTGAGATGGTCTAACAGCCAAAACGTAAGGTAGAATTAGAAAAATCGTTGATCATATACAATTACACTGGGTGCGGTATGTTCCATGTTTTTCCCCCTAGTTCCTTAGTCTGAAAATCCATTACTCCGCCGAAATTTGACAACCTCAAAAATTTTGATGGGGCAACTTGGGCCGTGAAACCCCATTCTGGGCATCCCTGCTGAGTGCATTGTGTTGAAGTTGATTGAGAGTGTTCGGTTTTTGACGTCGGTGGAAGAAAAAAAATTAGTGTATAAAATATTCGGTTCCGCCAAACGTTTTTATTTTTTACGTTTCCCAACGCGTTGCCAATATCAGAAAAGAAGAAAATACGATGCTGAAAATAATATTCCGATACCCCTTAAAGATATCATTGATTAAATAATATGTTTCTTATAATGTACGATTCTACAATAGCAAGATTGAAGGTATGAATCATTGATAAGCGGCAGACAGCCTGTTGCCGGCGCTGAGCACGTGGTTCTGTTGTTTACTGTAACTGAGCAAATCGCCGCTAGGCTCGCGTCGGTCGTCGTTCGCTCTATAAAAGCAGAAGCGCGGAAGTGCTTTGACAGTACTAACATTGCTATCGCATTTGATGCAATAGAACGGGAATGAAAACAGTCGTTATCACATATATTCGTATTTAAAACGTCTCTGCCGTATCGTAAATAGTCATCTTTCAGGAGAAAAGCTACATATCAAGGTATTTCTTACTTCTATAAATGTATTAATTTTTTTTTATTTACGATTTTCAAAATTAAAAAATTTTAATATGGATAACATTTTCTATTAATATGTACATCATCTATTGTCAAAAATTTGGGTTTGACAGAAAGTATGTAATCGATTTGAAAGAATTTGTTTATCCAAATATCAGGATTCTATTTTAATTATTTTTTACAAACGACTCTACTGATTTTCTACTAAATATTATTTATCCAATAAATGATTTAACAATAAAATAATAAATAAATAATTTTTATTAGTTTCAAAATCAGCGGTGTAATTGAACTAGATACATTTCACTAATATTAAGCTTATTGAAAAATCAAAACATCAGAATATTTTTAAAACTTATCTACTGAAAAAAAACTTAATTAAAAATAAAGAAATGCGAAATTGAATGTTTATTTCGTTACTTTTTTATAAATGCCCGAAAAATACACTGATAAATAGTTATTGAACTAAAAAAAACATGGCGTAAACACATTGTTAATCTAGGCTAATAGTAAAATAAACAGTACCAAACGTTTTGGAAACATTTTTTAACAACGTTCAGCGTTTCATTCCTTTTTTTTTGTTGTTCCCTTTTTTTTTTTTATACTTCGAAATGTGTTTATTTAATTACCCTTAGTAGTTCATTAGTTTTTTGGAGTTTTTATCGAAAACATAAATATTGCATTTATTTTTTATTTAATTTATATTGTCATCAATAGCAGACATAAAATAATTTAATAAATACTAATTATAATATTCTAATTAAAAAGGAATTTTGTATCACAATTTCATCAATGGTAAAAGGTAACATGTATATTTCGGATTTGAAAATGACCTAAACATTGCCGAAGTGTTCGATATTAATGTTCACGAACATTTTCATCATTCTTGATTCTTTTAAATGGTTTTATTGCGAATAATCTTTTAAGTATTATATATTAAGAATAAAATGCATTTTTTTTTTAAATTTAGGCTGAGAGAAACAATCACGATAATATTGTCTAATAAATTTCAACGTACAATTCTTGTTTATTAAATTTTTTCATATAGCTTCAACATAAATTATAATTATTTACTTATTTTTTTAAATTATTAATTCAAAGAAATGTTTATTGATAGAAAGCACTGAGTTTACACGAGTGGAATACGAATTATTAGCAATAAATATGATTTAAATTCCTTGTTTTATAATCGAAACATCATGAAATAGTTTAGTACTTATGTGAGAAATTGTTTCAATAGCATAACTTTCAATTATGAAAAAGATATGAGGAAGCTTTGGTACTTTTTACATTATGTATTGTGAATAATGTTTCGCCATCTTTATCGTGAATTATAAAATGATTTTTTGAAAATTACCGCGTAGATAATTATATTAATGATAACAATCTGTTTATATATACTCAACAACCTGTGGGTCAACCCCGGGAGACCTGCTTAAAGTAGGACTACCTGACTAAAATACCAACCAACATATTTTATCAATCCTTTTTTTTATCACAGAAATTATTTATAATGTTTATTTTATTTTATAATGTTTAATGTTTTAATATGACTATATGTTGATTTGACTATATCGTGCCAATATCCAAACTCCTTGTCGCTGCATGGCATAATTTAATTCTTGGTAGATATTAGGTGTTTTATAGTTAGTGCCGTATTTTTTAATAAGCGCCTAGTTAAAAATAATAATTATTTCAATTATGTTTTTAATTTATAAAAATTGACCTTGTTTATCAGATAAACAACTGGTAGCTTTATTTCATTCCTTATCAGAGGAGACGTGTTATCACTTTTTATTCATTATCATTATATTATTCAAATATTGTTTTGTTCTAAATGGAAAAGCTATATAAAAAAAAAAATTCAAGAAGTACTCTTGAAGCATAACTCCTTTTAATAATGAGTCAGAGAAAGTTTGTTTTTTGCCCTTTTTAAGTCAATTTATCAGTCGAGTAGTTTTAATTGAATAATGATACATTTCAGTTCTTATCAAATTGTTTAAACAATTCATAAGAGCTCTGATATCAGTGAAATTTTATTGATTGAAAAATGAAATACAACACTTATCGAGACCAAACAACATAAAAATAATTAAATGTAATCTCAAGTGCTCATTTTTGGAGGCTATCTATTAAACTTATTATTTAGAAAATTTAGTAAAACCGAAGAATTTGATTGACGAACTAAGATGCAAAATGCTTATGTTAGCCTTGAGTTTTATACGACGAAATTACACGACGGAGTGTGCAAACAAAAATAATTTTATAAAGGTGGTACTCGTTAGGCGGCAACAAAGAAAGGTCACAACAAAAATGTTTGCTGACCTGTTAGATCAAAACAAACAGTTTGTCAAAAGACATCATAGGACACTTGTGAACGTTTGTTAATTGTTAACCACGACAAGAAGTCGCTCATGACGCTCGCAAATTAGTTGCCAAGTTACTAAATTACTTGTTTCCTTGACATCAATAACCTTTTTATCGATTCGTATAGTTCTTAAAATAGCTTTGAAGTAATCTTTAAAATGACGACTTTTTGTTTAGTCCCGTTTTAGTGCCATCAGGTATTCTTTAGGAATAGCTTTACAGCCTGTGGAAAATCCCCAGGAGAGAGAGAAAGCTGTCGCAAGACATTTCTATTTAATGGCGGGTTTGCAAATTAATACTATGGCGAAAATCAGGGCAACGGATGGTAATAGTGGTTAAATTTGAAATGGTGTCGATTTGAAATTGTTTACAGTTATTTCACTAGCCGCAATCAGATTTCTACGGAAGTAGGTGTCAAAACGCAGAGCCTAATCCATTTCAACTATATCCTTGAGAAATATACTATTATATTCATTTATGCTTCAATTAAAAATATAACACGATTTTTTTTTTCACTATGCATTTTGTTTTAGAGCATGTATTTAAATAAATTTCAAGCCAGGGAACAAGTGGAATAAACATTCAACAGAGCAAGTGTAATTGAAGGCTCCGGTGGTTAAACAGGGCTAAATGCATCTTTTATAAGGGGGAGGGGAAACAATTGACGATTACTAATAATAATGAGGAGCGAAATAGTTCCGTGAGTAAGGCTCCTATCAACAATACCTAGGATCGAGTTCGGTAGGTCGGGAGACTCCCCTGGACCACAACCACCTTCTATAAATTGAGTACTCTTAACTAAATCATTAATTAAGAGGGAAGACTTAAGCGTGACCCTATCCAATCACCTTACTGCACAACCGTTGGCCTTCAAAACAATACATCCTGAAGTACTGTACCATGACCCTCCATGGGTTGCAGTTTTTTTTTTTTTTAAATAGTTTTAAGTTATGCGATATATTTATCAAGAGAGGCTTTCTAAGGGATCCAATGAAAATCCATAAACCATGTTGGACCTAGGTTACAGGTTCCATGTTTGGGTTGGCCTAATGAGGTCATCATACTCCCAGAAGATACAGATCCACTCCCGCAAGGAGAGCCATCAGGTGATGCAAACGGGATGGGCCCAGCCCTAGCAGACAGGCGGGTGCCTTGGCAACAGGCCCATCACGTGATGATCACGCGACCAGTCAGCTGTTCTCTCCCCTCCCCCCACACCTCCCTCTGCAAGATCCGGCTACCTCCTTTCTGTACTAACTAACGTTTGTATTTATGTGTGAGTTGCCTCAGTTTATTTATTGCTGATTAAATATATATTTTGGATTATTCACCAAGTTATTTTTCAACTATAAAATATTGAGCTGCAAAGCAGTAGCGGATTTATGATTTAATTTGGGTGATTTTTTTTTTTTTTTTTTTACTTTAATTGCTATGAAAGAAAAAAGAAAAAACTATATGAAATGAAGTCTGAGTGGTCCTAAAAAACAACCATAATTGCTGAAACAATATCTTTTTGAGCATAATTTTATTCTTCTTTACACTTGTTTAAATATAACAGACACATATGCATTATAATTTAAAAAGATCGCTCTGATCGCTCACCAAAACAAATCCGGAACAATGAAAAAAAAAAATTTTACGAGAGGAGAGAGACTTCAATCTGAAAGCTCCACGATAGATCCGTCAGTACTAAATGCTAAGAAAAAATGTTTACTTTGCAACGATCCCAAACACATTTAAAACTTATAACTTCATATTTAAAACAAACGTGAGAAAAGTAAAATTAAAAGTCAGTAAATAGTCACCATTTGTTATCTATTTTAACTACAAGAAGTCGAAAAACGAACGATAGTCATCATAAACTTCTACTACGGAACAACAACAGAAAATCATCAACAATAAGTTACTTGAGAAAATAAATCAGATTCAATCAATTCATTATAATTTTACGGTTAAATAAAAAATAAAATGAAAATTTGATTTGCGATGCTATAAAACATTCGTGAACAATTTACGAAAATATTTTTAAAACATAGTCGTTACATAAAAACAGTGCAAGTCGTTAAGCGCCCCGAAAAAGGAAAGTAGGTTTTAAAATAAATATCTGCAATTTTTTTTTAATGAGCAGTAAATATACTATACATTTTATAAATAAAGCTCAATTAAATTTAAGCAGATATTAATTACCAGATAGACTTTCTAGTAGCTATATTTAATTATTTTTTGTCTATTTTAAAATTATTACGAGAACTTAAATAAATATATTTTACAGACGAGTTTTTAATTTCTTCTTTTGGTTGGTTTAATGGTAAAATAATTTTCCAAACTTGAAATTTAAAAACAAAGCAGTTTGAGTGTATTTTTTTCTCAAATAATAAGACCAATAGAAGAAACGAACCACCATCTATTGATTTGTTTTAAATATAGAATCACTAAAAAAAAAAAATTAAAAAAATGTATTCCGTCGAATGTTTTTTTTTATAATCTTTAACTGACATATATTTTTTTTTATTATCTCAACCCAAATATTAATAATAATAAGCTTATAGTTTTCTATTTTTAAATAAATGGTCCACAATTAGTAATGCATTTGTCAAACGGAGGCGTTTGCGAAGGATAAAGGCGCTCCGTTATAAACAGTTTCTATTTTAAATTCATTTGCGAAGAAAACGTTCCATAAATATTTAAACATTTTTCCTTTCAGTTAAGGTCGTTAACTATTCGCTCGTTTCAGCCATTACCATTCCGAAAGAAAATACCTGATTTATGGGACAAAGAGATTATTCCGAGTGGAACTTTCCGACCAGACCTGCTTCGAAACAATAAAATAAATTGCAGCAAATAATTTTATGAGTGTATTCTCAGAATCCTATAAATGAGAAAATCAAACATAATAATTATATAAATAGATTAAAACAAAACAGTTCAGTCAGTACCTTTTTCTACTCTTCTTAACATTTTTATTTATTTATTTATTTTGTTTTTTGTATAAGCTGTTTGCGTGCTTTAGTATTATCAATAAAAAAAAATCGGAAACTGTGCATACAAATAAAAATGTAAATGTTAGTTTGTTCAAAACCGATAATCTTAAGTTCTTCACTGATTGCTTTCAAATTTTGATTCCCACATTTCAAAATTTGATTGCAACATTCCAATCTGATTTGTGAGTGTTTTTGTATCCATTTCATTACCATCCGGCCTTCCTTTTCGAAACGATTTTGATGGAACTTGGCTTAAATATTCTATTTGAAGCCCTTTTAATTTAGCTAGAAGCCTTTTTAATAGAGATTTGGGTTATGCTCACACTTATAGTATCACTTCAGATAATAAATATTCGGAAAATCGTTAAATTTAACTTTCTTTTTTTTATTAATAAAAAGGTATTTATCTTCGTTATAATTCATCACAGATAATGAAAAAGAATAAATTAAAGCTTTCTAAATACATATTTTTGTATTTTATGCGGAAAATAATTTTTTAGGTGATAGGACATTTTTTTATAAAACTTTAGATGAATTTCAACTTATTTTATGATAAATCTCAACTTAATATTATGTGCACTTGATGCTTATTAAACAAGTTTTTTTTTTTTTATAAAAGTGCGGTTTCTGTAGTTTATTTGGAGAGTGATAAAAAAAAACCCGCAACTAATCCAAGATTTTTTTAAACACGGAGCTTAACTTAGTTTGGCCCCTCAGAAGTCATCTTTAAATAGTTTTGAAGATGACGAAGTCTACTTTCTACTCAATTTTGTCTAGTTTATTGCGAAATAATTGTTAATTACTTGAATTAAACATTTTTTAAGTTATCGCTTCCTATTCCCCAGAAAAAATGACACTTAAAAAATCACAAAACTGAAATCTTCTACAATTCTGCTGAAAATTGGACCATTGTTTAACATGAACTTTCTTGTCTAGTAGCAAGGTTCTACTATTACCTGTTTAAATATTTCCCTCTACTTGCGAGACACCCTGTATAACTATCTATATACTTCCCCGAAAAGAGGCTAAAAAAAGTAACGATGTATACAGAAGTTTATTCGTCAAAAAGTGCACAAACGATGAGTACGTAAAAAATAAACAAAATTGCACTGTTTTTTATTGTAAGTACATATCTGTGGCAAGTGGCTGCATTCTGTTGTGAAAAGTGTGTTAAGTGCAATTTTCTGAATTTTTATGGGTATCACCAGAAAGCTAATTTTTCTATCTTTCTTTGTGTTTAAGTTAAGCGGCTATTATAGAGATGAACATTTTTTTGTGAATCATGGGTTGAACATCGAAATTTAACTTGTACTTGAAAATTCCAAACTTCCAATTGCATTTTCCGTAAGTATGATTTTCGTAACAGTTAATACTCGACTTTGTTACATATTACCATTTACGTATATGATCAACAGTGACTAAAAAATATTAATATAAAAAATCATCATCACTAAGGGGCCTATTTTGAACTGTGAGCTCATATAAGTTTTTAGATTCATCAAGACTTTTTAAATTCTATTGACAGATTTCACAGAGCGATAGGAAGCCCTTGTGTGTATTTTTGTCTCGGTTCCGCACGTGGCCCCAGGCTTGTGTTTACTCAAGTCAAATATCAAAACAAATATACCCACATAGTTGTTGAACTCTGATATAAATGTAAAATTTAATGAACGAAATGAATTACAAACAATTAATCTCAGCAAATAATTCTTGGACAATAATTCTTAATCAATGATTAGTATGATCTTGGACTTGCTTACTACATGGCTTTGATTACAGTAATAGACAATTCAATAGTAATAATTGAAGGAATTAAGAATTTAGTCGACTGTTCTACCTACCGTAGGTGATAAATATTTTTTTATGAACAATGTTATTATTAAAATATTGTACTACCTATCATTCCAATTGACTGATTGTATAAATATTATTTGTCTAACTATTTTGTATCTTCACTCAAACTATTTTATGTTTGTATTGACTGTCATCTCTTTATCATCTATATCTCTCTTGTCATTTATTTTTATTTCATTACAAGCCAATAGTCATAATTTTTTAACTAGAAGAAACAACGTAAATCTTGTACATATTTACATATGTGCATCTTCAAAATTAAGTGATCAAATTTGCATTTCACAAACAAAAATCTTAGCCCTCTGACTTTGTTTTACCTACCTTTGATATCCGGAAAATCCACCACCTACCCTTTTACTTACCTACCAAAACTAATTTACCAATATCCAGAACTAAAGTTGTAGTTCGCATTATTATTGACAATTTCTCTTTCTCAAAGGGTATTAATGTTGATATTTACCTTAACTATATTGAAGATTAAACAAAAATCTATTTTTGGTCCATCTAATCTCGAAACAACATTGTTGGACTAATGTTGATTTCAGAAAGAACTATGTTATCACCAAATTCCTGTTTTATTTTACTAATTTCTTAAGTACACCAAATTAACAGGTGCTTATTGACTTGAGAAATGATAGCCCGTATAAGTTGCAAAACGGTACACAGAATCCTTTGAAGCTTCTGAAAAGTTTCTCCGACCACAACTTTCACCTCCTTGTCGAGATAAACTGTCGCGAATCTTGTTTACACAGGATATATAGTTGTTTTTTTTTTCCAAGAGGTCTTTTCCTTGCGTAATGGTATTGTTACGACTTGCTCACTAACTGTAATTCAAGACATGTCTGTTCGTGGGAAATATTATCAGTTTTTTTTTAAATAACGATAGATAGATGCTGCTGCAGTGCCGACACTTGTACCATCCTAAAAATAGCCCCTTTGATTTTACTTTTTGCTATTTTCGGCTCAGGTCAGGGACTGTTCGAGTTGAATCACAAAATGGAGTCGCTGGGTGATTCAAGTTTAAAGCCAAATTTAAATATAACATCATGGTCTTTACAATTGCATTGAGGTCATAAGGTTATTTTAATGCGTTTTTAAATACAGTCTCAGTTCAATCAACCTATATATACAGTCTCCAAACGTCATCACGTCACTTCTAAGTATTATTTCTTTCTTTTTATTATTAAAGTTCTTTAATAGCAATTTTTGTAATTTTTGAAATGTCAGCTGAAGTAAAAAAGTTAAAAAACATAGTAATAGATAGTAAACATTGGTAATTACGGTTATATTATTGTTATAATTTCTTGAATAAAAATAAATAAACAAGATAACAAATAAAAACAATTAAGGTGTGTGCTTTAGACCACACGATAGAAGTGAAAACATCAACAAGGCTAGATTAATAACATGAAATATAAATTATAAA